TATTATCCATTTGATCAGTGAAAACACTGGATGACATAGTAGATTAGGTTTAATAGTAGAGTTAATACAAGATCAGAGGTATTTGTTGATGTGCAGAATAGCATGCTAGATTCCTAATACTTTCCCACACTTCAAACTAGTTCTGCACTGAGCTTGGTTCCAAATTATTGCATATATCAAGACATTTCTTTCCAAGTTAGACACTTTCCATTATGAAATATGTTAATCCTCTTTATCTTAATCTTCAAGGCTTTGACATGTCAAGTGCCCATTTAATATTTCTAACCTTTTCAGACACCTTATTTTGTTATCTTTCACCCCAATCAATCAACAGATATAATCACTTCCTTGCTGAAATATCCTGAAGGTACAAGCAGAATTATTTTTAATTCTTGCATTAGCCAATTCCCTGTAATTGTGTGGATCCCTGTTCTCTGACTTGGTGCCTTCCAGATGTATTGGGGTTACAGTTCCAGGAATCCCTAGCCGGTATGGGAGATTTGGGAGTTATAATTCCAACATCTCTAGAGATTTCAGACTGGGGGAGGAAACTGTCCTCTTTCTCTCCTCTCCCCCCCATACATCTTTTCTGGACGTAGCTGTTTTCTCATACATCTTTATGTAGGATATTTCTAAGAATTGTACAGAAAGAGATAGTTTCTTATTCTACAGAACTTAATTTATCACATCAGCAACAAGATTTGCCCTTCTGTTCTAAAACATGAAGGCTGGGAACATAATTTTTTTAAAAAGCTGTCTCGCATTCTGTAACACATACTTACCACAGTAATTTCATGGGGGAAGAATGTCAGAAAACAAACAGCTCTTGTATTGTTTAATTAATTCCCTGTAAGAATAACAGTGGAACTACCTTAATTTCATGGTTTTACCCATGTAAAAGAAAACTGGAGGAAAAAAAATCCTTAGTATTTCTTGTGCCTCTCCCTTCAACCCCCCCAAATTGCTATTGACAATGTCACGATATGCCAAACAATTGTTGTTTATGGAAGCCCATGTGATTCATTGCTGTTGAAAAGTGCCAACAAACCTAGAAAGAGTTAACAGACTAAAATTACATCAGCTTTCTTGCAGAACAATAAACAGGAAGCACTGCAGAAATTAAATTTATACATTTGTGACTAAGGCTAGTCGGGAGCTTCATGCTCGGTTCAGAAAGGTCTGGTTTTCAGGCCAGGTTTATTATTGGTGGCAAAATTATATACTTGGTTAGAAAACAATGGTGGCAACTTGGCAAAGAGGAAAAGAGGAACTACCCAACCTTCATTTGTTACACTCCTCTTCCTCCTCTTTAGCCTCATTGGTCAGATTATATATAGTGGTCAGCGCAGAGCACTGTCTCCTGTGGTGGGGTATTTGCGGAACGGAGCCAAAAGTGTCAGTGGCAGGTGGTTTCATGAGCAGGCATAGCAATCTCTGGGTCACATCATGCTCAACTTCGGGCACTCACTTGCCCAATGCAGTCTGGCTTCCCTTACAGAGGTAGTGTAAGTAGAACATTGTTCTGTCCTCCTTTCTGGAAGAGTAGGATGGAGGATGACAAAGGAAGACAGTGGATTAGAGCCCTGCACATGTTCCAAAACCACGCAAGAGGAACCCTTCTCCCTAGGGCAGATTGGGTTCCTTCTGCCTCTAAGGGTGCCTTGAGGCTTGGCTGCATCTAGATGCTCTTGCCCATATTTCCCTAAGCATAAACCATATTGAACTTGGTCTTGTTCTGTGCTGAGTGGCTTCTGCCAGAGGCAAACAGAACATGTATGTGTTGGAAGAGGAATATGTGATGAAACATTTATGTCCTTGCCATTGGGATTGATTGTACTGGTATTCTTGACTGGAGCCTGCATTCAGAAGGAGCAGTGCGGACTGTGGGCAAAGAGAAGCAATGCCTTGCTCTGTTGGGTCTGGCAAAAGCATATCCATTTTTAATGTTTGCATCAAAAAGGAATTTTGAAAGAGGTGCTAATTCTCTTGCCCTTCTGCTATAGTACCAATGATGCTTTTGTTGACTGCCATGAACCCTACTGAAGAAAGTAGTATGAATATATGTTGTGGGAAGGGAGTTTAATATTCCACTGTTAAAGTGGTTGAAAACCAATTTTAGCAAGGTTTTACTTCTTTCTCAGTGGCAATGAAATTGAGATTCATCACTACAGAGATCTTCAAACAAATGTTTGACAGTTTGCTTTGCATGCCTATATGACTGCTTTACCATGAGCCTTCTTAAACATATAGTTTCCACCTTTTCTATTTTTGCTCTTTGCCTTTTCTACATCCTAGCAAATGTGAGGGTTTTATTACAGCTCATTAATGCAGCCCATCTTTTTCAAGAAGATGACCTCAGGTTCATTTCCCCATAACCTCCACTTGAAAGCATCTTGAAACCCAAAGGTGGAAATAATGCTACTTAAATAAAGTCTGCTGATATTTGGAACAGATCAGGGTATGCTACCTGACATCCCAGAGCCACATACAGCAGTATTTAATTTCAATTAAATTCAAATGTAAATACAGTGCATTCAAAACTTAATTTTTGTCCTGATCCTCTCTATTCTTTTTTGGAACACAGCTCCTGGCCCACAATCCAGAAAAAGTTGTGTACCCTTGAACCAGATGCTGTAGAACTAGGTGGGACAATGTTGTGATTAGTACAAAAACCTTTGTAATGTGTTCAGAATGATTTTTTGCCTGTAACAATGTCATTGTTTCTTGTCTGACCCTTCCCTAATGTAATTAGAACCATTAAACAGTCATCGCATAGCAGTTCATACTGTGGCTGATGGAAGAGGGCACAGATAATCATTAGTTTGTGCTATATTGTGATACTTATGCATCTACTCTAAATATTTCAGAGGAGGTTTAGGCTTTGATGTGGCTGATGTCTGGAAGGGACAGCCACGTGTATACCTTGATCTCTTTGGAGAGAAGAAGGGATATAAATTTAGTAAAGAAAGAAGATGTTCCTTTTGCTGGAATCTATCATGGGTGCAACTGAACATGTTAGTATGCCAATCATCCATTGCTGGAGAAATGTGAAATTTGAAGATGCATCCAAGACATTACAGTAGTCTAGAAAGCTGCCTTGACCTTGTAGGTTGCTCATATGAAATCAGACAGCCTAGTTGGTCTGATAAAGCAGAAAGCTAGTAAGGTTAGACAACTCTGCATTAAAAAAAAAAACCTACTTGAAAACATGTGGTTTTTCACACATATCCACTCAGATGCACATATGTATGTATATACCTGGGTGGATGGAAAGAGTGAGTGAGTTATATTGATCACCAGGTCGATGTAACTGAAAGCAGCACACAGAACATACATTGAAAGGGGATGGAAGTCATGTCAAACCCTATCCATGGAGCATGACATGATGTCACATCTGAACCCCTCTGTTCTGAAAGCTGAAGGGAAGGTGGATTCTATTTACCATTCTGAGAGCTTTCAGATAGGATAGATACCTCATGTTCCCCAGTTCTGATCAAAACATTTGCAATTGTTTTATGTCCTTATTCCTGCAATTTGCTCTTCAACTCCAATGATACAGACATTTGTTCTGCCAAGTTCCTCAGGCCTGTGGTATTCCTAATTATCTTGCCAGCCCGCTCTGGCCCTGTCAAAGAAACAGTTGGCTGCTGGGGGCTGCTTAGCAGTGGTTGGGGGGCAAAGAAAGGAAACCTAAGTTTGCCAAGCAAAGATGGGAGTGGCTGTGCTGTGATCCTCACCTCCCCAAATCTTCCTCCTTGAAAAGGTGATGTTAGAGATGACACGCGTGCTTGTTTACATAAGCTCTTATCTCTGCCGCTTTCTCTCCCCCCTCCCCATGCAGGATTCCGTTCAAGATTGGGCAGCCTAAGAAACAGATTGTACCCAAGACCGTGAGTAAACCAATTCCCCCTTTTTTAAATCTCGTCTTTGATCATATGGCTGATGACTCAAGCCAGCACACATTAACCAGCCCGTTTTAAATATGTTTATGTGTGTGTGGGAGGGGAAAACATGAGTGAGCTGAAATTGCTTCTGTCTTTGACCATCGCTCTGACTGAGGGGGAGTCTCAGCACTGGGTAGCTTATTTTGGTATCTTCTGGATCTCTGTCCCTGCTCCTTTCTTAACACCCTGCTCCTCCCCGGAGTGTGTGTGTGTGTGTGTGTGTGTGTGCGTGTGGCAGGGGAGGGACTTTTCTCACTCTGGCATGGTTTTCCTAGGAGATGGCTGAGCAGGCTTCCTTCCTTCCTTCTTTCGGCAATGGCTTGTTTGTTCCTCTTTTCTGAGCAGATGGAGAAGGAGGACTGCTTCGTATTACTGAATATAACTGTTTCCAAAGGGAGGCTGATTAGAGGAAGCTGAAATGCTTAGTGCCCGGGTGTGAATTAATTTGGACTGCAGAGCAGTTGCTTTAAAAGGCATTTTAAAACACACATACACACAATGCAGTTTCATATTCTGGAGAGCCTGATTGTCTTACCCTGAAGCAGTGGAAGAGTGCATCTAGGGGGTTTTTCCCCCTAGATATTTCTTTTTCCACACAACCATGGCCTTTATTTACTGTTTATGCAGCAGCTCAATCTGTAGAGTAGGGATGGGAAACCTGTAGCTTTCCAGATGTTGCTTGGCTACAGTACCCAGCATTAGTCATGCTGGCTGAGGCTGAAGTTGTATTTCAACCACATCTGGAGTGCAGAACCCTCACCTCTTCTAAAAGGGTTCATATTGGCTAACCCAAAATTAACCTGTTTTTACCTGTCTGCGCTGTGAGTGTTTCTGAATCCGGGTGTGACAGTGGATGCTGCCTCTATAACTGTTCTAGTGAGGTATTCTTTCCACTTAGGGAGCACCAAATTAACTCTCAGCCATGATGCCTTGGAGAGCAAGTTTGGGTTACATGGCTTCTGGAAATTGGGCAGGGTGAGAATAACATGAAAGCTTTTCGATGCTCCACTCTAATGACACTTTGTGTTGGAAAGGCGATGGTCTCACAGTTTCGTAACAGGAGAAAGCCATCTCTGCCTTCTAGATGTTTTGGATCTCAGTTCCCATTTGTTCTAGCCTGCAGAGCTGATAGCAAGAGATTGTAGAAATTGCAGTCCAAGGAGTCTTGAGAGCATCAAATTACCTATCCTTGGCTTAAATATTGTAGAATGACCTTACCACTTCCAAATGAGCAAAAGGCCATAGGTATAAGAGACCCTAGTTGCTGTTTACTCAGTACCAATAGAAGAGAATATGTGTAGCTCAGGGTTGAACTGTGGAGTCCTTGGGGTTCTCTGAGCTTGGTTGTCACCACCAGTCTGAGTCCTCACCAGCAATCATCACCCAAGATAAGCAGAGATTAACACCAAGATTATCACCAGACATACAATCAGCAGTAAACAATACCCTAATCATATGTGTAGCTCAGGGTTGAACTGTGGAGTCCTTGGGGTTCTCTGAGCTTGGTTGTCACCACCAGTCTGAGTCCTCACCAGCAATCATCACCCAAGATAAGCAGAGATTAACACCAAGATTATCACCAGACATAATCAGAGGGAAAAAAATAAAACAAAACCCACAATATGTGTAGCTCAGGGTTGAACTGTGGAGTCCTTGGGGTTCTCTGAGCTTGGTTGTCACCACCAGTCTGAGTCCTCACCAGCAATCATCACCCAAGATAAGCAGAGATTAACACCAAGATTATCACCAGACATACAATCAGCAGTAAACAATACCCTAATCAAGGAACTACCAGAGGGAAAAAAATAAAACAAAACCCACACCCCCACCAACACTGGCAGGGCATGCCACATTATATAAACAGAGAGCAAACCCCATCCCATTCTAGCACTGAAGATGTTACCTATCTGGGTACCGAAACATTTGCAAGAAAACAGCCAAGCTCAGAGAACCCTAAGGACTCCACAGTTCTTTCTGCTTAACAATGTTATCTCCTCCTTGGCTTCCTCTCCCATTAAGGTTGTCGATGTCT